TTTGAACCGTGGGAATAATTACTAAAAAAGAAAACAAGTCGAAAAGATAAGTCAGAGAGTTAAATTAAGAATGAAATGAAGAATCCAATGATGAAAGCATAAAGGGAAAATACCAGGTGGAGGAAGAGCAAGCGGCATTGAGATAGGTGGGAGAGTCTGTACAGTCTCAACTTGCTGTAAATCGAAACGTTTGATTAGAGAAGGAAATATATAGACGTAAAAAGAGACACAAGTAGAAGGAAGAAATATACCTCAGGGATCGGTGTTGAAGGCTGAAGCTGAGTTTCGACAGTTGTCGATATGGTCGCCGATGGATTATCCTAAAAATTTTATCGAAAATGTGAGTCATGATACAAGTCTTATCAAAATCTAAGACAGAAATGAGAGAAAAAGGAAACTCACATGACTAGAATGAGTGACGGGTGTTGTTTGACCCGTGGAGGGAACGGTGTTAGAATCCATCGATAATGGATCTGCTGTGGATGGTTGGACTGGTCGTGGACTCTTCGATTTTTTCTATAGGGTAGAAATCGAAAAGAGATATGAGAATTCATAAGGAAACATGTTATAAACAGAAAAATGAATGAGACAAAAAGAGATCAAAAAAGGTACCTTCGATTTTTTCGAAGACGAAGTGGTGATGGTGACCGATTGTTTTCGTTTTCTGGTGAAGGTCGGAGGGTCCGACTCATCTGGGGACTCCCAGCTTGCGTCCTTTTCTTCCTCTTGTGTCTTCTCGAAAGCGACCACCTTAGTAGATTTTGAAACTGTCGAGGAATGAAGATAATCGGTTTCCAAAACACGGAATTGAAAATTGAGAGAAAACAATAAAACCTCACCAAAAGGTGATGGAGTCAAAATTTTGACTCGATCAATATGTACTAGCCAAGGAGGCGGGAGAGCTTCGGGGAGGTTAAGGTAAGGAAAGTAAAACAATTTCGATACAGAAATGTCTTTGTTTTTGGGTTTTGGGCGACGTGTTTCTTTAAGGGTTCTCAATTCTCGAACCCATTTGGGATGAGTTAAAGGTTTTGCGAGTCCAAAAGGTGTTGTAGGAAAAGTGGGAAGGCAATCGGGACAATACATTTCAAAAGGGGTTTTTCCTAAGGGATTAATTATTTTGTGGTTCGATCTATTGGTATCTGTTTTTCGGGATAAGGAAATGACAGCATCATAAAAGGTCGATTCTAGTTTTAGTGGAGTATAACATATTTGATAAAAATTCTCGAATCGAGATATTTGGAGACAGTGGAAGTGTGTACCTTTCTTCCCTTTCGACTTGTCCTGCAACACAAGAGAAGGACGAGCGATCGGTTCTGTCGAACCTCGTCAAAAACAGACACGATTACTCGAAAACCAATTGGTCCACCATTGAGAAAATTCCACGATCGATAAGTAATTCGATTCAAATACATATGGATAAAGATGCATCGAGGTTCTTGGCAAAAATTTAGAAAGCTCTCGGCCGATGTTCGACTCAGTCAATTTGGATTTGGGGAAGGTATTTAAAGGGAAAAAGGGTAAAGACTGGCTCAGGCCAAATTGTCTTGAAAAAAGTTGAGGGTAGTAAGTAGTAAACTTGAAATCCTTGGAGTGAAAGCCCGATACTAATATATCCTGGGTTAAGTAGTTACTCCATATATCGACCAATTCTAATTGCAACCCGGGAGTTGAAGCGGAAACTTTGACTTAAACCAAATAGGCCCCTAAGTTGGCCACTTGTTCGTCCAAGATTTACGATAAAAGGGGCCAAGGTTGAATCGAAATCGAATCTAATTAACAAAAAGTGAAGGTATTTACAATAGGTAGTTTCGTCAGACTTATGGCGAGGATGGCGAGAGGATAATCGGGCCCCTTCTATATTCACACTCGGGGGGACGGTAGAAAATCGAGGAAGGATGCTCTCAAAAATCGAAGTTAACCATAACTGGATGAACCAAATAGGGCCAGAAAAATTCCTCGATGCCTTAGGAGTATTCAAAATATCGACAGCTTCGTCGAAAGTAGTATATACATGCGCTAACAGAAACTTGGCTAAACATAGGTTAGGTTGGCCTAAATGTAGGAGATATGCAAGGTTAAATAAATGGGAGGAAATTTGGATTGATCGGGGGCAAAAGACATGGGTGCACAACCAATATACCAAAAATGCTACGTGCTCTTCGTCAGTAACTGCTATTGAAGGGTCATCAATAAAATGTTTCTCAAAGAAATGCCCATAAGCCTTCGATTCCCAATCAATTTTTGACTTCAGTGAATTATCCGAAGGAAATGCACCCTGAAAATATCTTTCCCCTGTAGGTTTTAAACCGAGTGATGGCTGCGACATCGAAAAGAGTAGGTGAGAGAGGGCGCAAGGTAATTCCAATGCATGTATTTCCTTGTTCCATAAATGCACGGCGACCAAAAACATAGCCATGTCTAAATAAGACAAGTCACATTGAGATAAGTGTAAAAAATCGAAAATCCCTACGTTTCTCCAATGGTTCCCAAACTTAGCTTTGATCCTATCAAACCATTTAGTAAACAAAGGTTTTTTGGAGGGAGGGCCTGTCAGATACACCTTAGAAACAAGGTTCGAGAAAATTGATCCTAACTTCGGTCGATGTACAAGAGCGGGTATGTTTGAGAGGGTGAGGGAGAAACAGGTTCCACTACCGGAAAGAATGGGGCCCCAAAAGCAAAACCAACCCCCTCAACAGGTATAAGGAACTAATACCTGCGTTTCAGCAATCTTTTGGAAGCTTCCTCCATTAGAGGCGGGGAGCAAACTTCGGTTGTTAATCTCTAACGAGGTAGCGGCGGATGAGGCAAGAGGGGAGTCGAGAAATCGGATGACTTGGATGAAGTAACCATTGGAGTAAGCTTAGGAAAACGAGAAAAGGAAAAATTAGCGGATGAGGTAACGGGGACGAAGGCAGGAGTTCAAAGGAGAAGATGAGATTGCAAAGAGGGTGATAGTTCGCGTAAAAAACCGAGTAAAGACCAAGGAAAGATTAAAGGGAAATTGTCTAGGGAGTTGGAAACGACGGAAAGGAAAGGTAATTAATGTAACTTGTCTTGAAAGGCAACGGTCGAGGAGACGACGACGTAAAGTGAAAAATAAACCTAAAACCCCTTTTAACCCTAGAACCCCGAAACCCTAAACCCTAAATCCTGTGGGCTTTCGAACACTAAGGTGGGAATATTGAAAGAATATAAAACGAAATCATTTATATTCTTTCGGGGGGCATTTTGTTAGTGTGAAATCAAGAAATATGATCGATAAACGAACAAAGCGTATGATAACTTTTTCGATGTCCAATTATAAAGAACGTAGCACATAAAATCGAAAGGTAGAATCGGAAGGGTAGGAGTAATAGTCGAAGGCTTAACATGGAACAACTTTGAAGTATATGAACTTAAGGTTAAAATGAATTGATGTCAGGTATGCAAAGTTTTCGATTAAGTCGAAATCGAAGGGAAGGCTCGTCTATGTGGATATCGAAACCCCGGCTAAACCTTGAAGGGAAATAGTCAAAACGCACGTTTGGAAAGCAATTTCTAAGTTATGGAAGAGGCGAAGATCGTGAGAACGTGGGAAGCAAGTAAAAGAGGAGCGCCTTATACACGTAGGACGTGGTATCAATCTTGTTAGCTGTTTACGGAAGACTTGAATGATGCCACTATAAATAGTACAAAAGAGGAAGGAGGAGGGCGGAAATTGGCGGAGAACGGGATCGGTAGTGAAAAGTCTACGGAGAAACGACGAACACCATGAAGTTTACGGCAATCTGGATTTTCTTGCTCACTGAGTACATTTACAGCTTTACGTATTTTCCTTGGTAATTTATTTTGATGCAATTTAAATTCGACAATTTTATGTTTACGTATTTTCAATTCCTTGTCCATTTCAATTCAATGAAAGTTTAAGTTTACGTATTTTCGATTTATTGTCATTTACATTTCTGCACATTTCGATTTCCTGCCATTTACATTTGCACTATTTTTCGATTCCTTGTCATTTACAATTAATGCAAGTTTGGGGTTTTCGCACTTTACATTTCCTCGCAATTTAATATTCTGCTTTTTCGATTCGATACTTTATTGTTTTCGATACTTTAAAGATAACACCAAAAACAGTTTTCTTGATATCTTATGATTTTCGATTCTCATATACGTTTTCGATTGAAAGTCAGACTGCTAGCCTAAGTAAAAAGAACTTACGTGGTAGATTTTTGATTAGGACCAAAACACCCTTAGAATCGAAATCGATCAAAATTCCACCGAAACGAGTGTTAGATATCTTTTACTTTTAATTTCAACAAATTATTATTTTAATCTTAATTTTAGAAAATGTAATTATGTAATCCTTTTTCTTCAAAATAATAGTGAAAAGTTAAAAGAAACTATCTATAAATATCAAAAGCCTACAAAGAGAAAAAAAAAATAGTTACTCATCAAAAGGTGGTAACCGTAGGGTTAATAAAGGATATATAGTATAGAGCGAAAGCACCATATTTTGGAGTTACTATTGTGGGGGCAGTTTCCTTCACCATGAAAGAGTTTCTTAAATGCACCAAAACTAACAATGAACCATTGTCAACACAGGACCATCCACCATGCCAAAAATGGCAAAATCTATTCAAATTTAGCAGATTCACACCAAATAAAATAACTCCAGATCCAATTAGAGACCAAAAAAAATTGACCTTCTCTTATCCAGAGAGAGAGAGAGAGATCTATCACAAACAACAATGTGTTTCATAAGGATCATATTCACGCACCATTTACAAATTACATCTACGTGAAAAAGAAGCATTTTAGCTCCTACGCTTGAAATTGAAACAGTCAAATCACATAACAACAAATCGAGTGTTCTGGGAACAACGACTAGAAAATTAAAGAGGGAGAAACAATTGATATATATACGTCATGATAATTGAAATATAGTTGATATATTAACTAGAACATGTAATTGAATTGATATATATATATATATACCAAATATGGGAACGTGGCTAGCAAAGAGGTTGCTTGGTTGGTGTTGTTGGAAGGTTGCGAAGGACGAAGATAGAAGCCAGATCGTGGGACACTGGGAAGAACGCTTGTGATGGTGGGTCTAAAGTGTGTGTTCGGAGGAGTCGTGGTTTCTTTGGAGCTGGAGGGCACACCGGTGGGGTCCTTAATTGTTGGGACGGTGATGTGGGTGTGTGGCACTCTTCTACGACATCCTCGTTTAGCACCTCTTTTGTCGTTCCCAGGTCGTGTTTGAAGGTCCTAGAAGATGGAACCACTGTTCGTAGGGGCGTAATTGGTCGAAATTCTTCTAAGATTTGGAGACCCATTTGTTTCTGGTATGAAAATTCAAAGGAAAATGTGTGGCAAATTGAAGAAAAAGAAAAGAAAATTTGGTGCGAGGGAGAGAATGAGAGGGTGATGATGATAATGATGATGATGATGATGATGAGAGGTGGTGAAAGAGAGAGATATCTGAGAGAGGGTGGACGATACGTGGGGTTCACATGCAATGTTAAAGACGAAAAATGAGAATTGGAAAAGAGTGAAAATTGGAAAAGGAAACAAAACTGAAAAAGAAAAAAGGAAAAAACAAAAAAAAAGTATGGTTGCACCAAACAACAAGGCGTGTTGCCCTTATAACTTTGTATGCTTGTCCATGTCAAGTTATTGATCTAACCAAAAGAATTATTAAAAGGGGAGATGAAAATGAAGTTTGATCGAAATTTTATTATTTATATTTTATAAAAATTGAAATTTTCAATGTTATTTCCTTTTGTATTTTCATCTCTTAGTTTTTAATTATATGTAATTTCAATTCTTGAATCTTTTTTCTACTTCATTTAAATCCTTGAATTTTAAAATACTCATAACTTTATTCAATTTTAGTTTTAGTTTACATCATGCTCGTAACTTTTTTTACATGATTGAAAAAAGTAATAACATATTTTTAAAATTTAAATTAAAGAAAGCTATGAATAATTAAAAATAAAGGATCCAAACTAAGTACAAAATAGAATTGGAACAAAAATTGTTGATGTCATAAGACATTTTGATTTTATTTTTTAAGGTTAAATGTTTGTGTGGAAATTACTTGGTATTATATAAAAAGTAAAAAGGGCATGCATGACATGGTCACATGAGTCACATGATAGCTTAGCTGCTGTTCATGTGGTGGCATCCCCAACATTCTGGGCTTTGTCACTTTTTCTTGCCTTTGCCTCGCTGTCCACGCTCAATCAAACCACCTTCTTCTTTTTTTAACCCTAATTTAAAGTCAACCTACCGTTGCTTTTCACGTTCTTCTCTCTCTTTCTCCTCTTAACTTTTCTTTCTTAATTATTTTTCACCACCTCTCATCACGTTCTTCTTTCTTTCTTAATATATATTTTCATATCACTACAATCGAGACACTTTCTACTTCAATGACTCATCTTGTTCTTATCATTTAGAAGGAGTATTAATGTGTTCAAAATATGACAGTGTAATAAGTTTTATTTAGAACTTCGAGATGAACAATTTATATATATTCATTTTATTCTAAGGAGAAAAAACAAAAACTTCAAATAACTTGTAAGAGTATATCTAACTCGGATCATCTGCATCGCTTAAATTCTTAAACATTAAGATTTTGGGATCAACTAATCTTTATTATATACCATATAGATGGGTTGATTAGTGAATTTTTTACTCTCAATTAGCACTATGAACATATTCAAGGTGCTGCCAAAAAAAGTTTTGTTTTGATTCTGATATGAATATGTTGTTTAATTCAAGCGTCAAACCATGCAATAACTTGGGATAAGTCACATACAAAATATGGATATATATATATATAAACTATAGAAAGGTGAATAAAATTATCATTATTCAGTTTAAACATAACCCTGTGTAGTGTAAGTCAACCAAACTGCATACCAAATCCCAAAGATAATCATAGCATGTTTTTTAAGCATTTTAGGTAATATCATTAAGATAATCTTAAGTGCATGGAATCCATCGGATATGAATAATTACGTACGTTTACTAGTGCACTGGAAATAAACTAATTTGGTAACATTGTAGCAGCGGATCAACCTTGGTAACAACGTTTTCTTCTTCTTGTTTTTTTTTATCTGCTACCCTCTTGTTTTCTACTGATCTCACTTATCAGAACTATGGTCCATTTCTTTTAATAATAACTTTTTTCTACAGCAAAAATCTCATCAAACTATAATGCCATGCATATTAATAATCATTCATGGTAATTCTTCTAAACAAATTAAACATTCATATAAAGATATCTATGCAATTTTAGCTATAACACATGCTTAAATTTTAAGAAATAATAAATTATATTTCTTTCTTTAAATATTCAAAGATTATATTATTCTCTCGTTTTATTTAAAATTCACACTCTCTTCTCTTGATTCAAGTGAATGACATTTTAAACTTTAAATATTAGTTGTTTATTAACTACTACTAAAAAAGTACATATGTGTGTGATTATACTAACCATAAAAACACTTCTACTTGAGCTCATAACATCATTGCCTCTTCAAGTTCTTACCTGGCATTGAAAACATATTATATATATATATATATATATATATATATATATATATATATATATATATATATATATATATATATATATATTTCAATGGAAGTGAAAGGTATCTTTGCATTATATTCCTTGCAGGCAGAGAGTAGTGTTGACTAGCCAATATATATAATATTCCAAACAAGAGGAACTTTACTTTAGATCCAAACCAAATAATCATAAGCTGTATTAATCAACAAAAGCTGTTTAACTCACATGAATATGTTTCTGAAAACATAGTTTATGAAAGGGTGACAGAAACTGTTACCATATTATAATATATATTTGTCTTTAAATGGCAAGACATAAGAAAGGCTGTACTTCCTCTGGTGAAGGCATATAGAGCTGCTTGCTCAATATGAAGTTCTGAACGCAGATAGAATATGTATATATAAAAGAAGTTTAAAATAAAGAAAGTTTTCAATGTACACATCACAAAAGAAGATATATTCTATTTTATTGTTATACATGAATATATGTGTGTATTTGGACTTGTGTACAACATACAAACAACATGTCTTGAAAATGAGTCATTTTTTCATCCTTATGCTTAACAAGAGATAGATAGAATGAAGACAGAAACTTAAGAGGGAGAAAGAATTGCTGCCCTTAGTAAAGATTGATTTTGTCTGTGGGGACAAAAAAGAGTTTTAAGTCACTTTTACTCCGTAACTCTCAGAGAAGAGACGTGTTCTGATACCCAAAGGCAAATAGTAGTTTTTAAAGACATTCATTGAGGCACCTTCAAACGAAAACATCATTGAATTCTAAAGCAGACAACTCTCCTCCACTTCCTCCCCTTTACACTGAATGTTTTGTTGGCACCAACATCTTCAACTGATCTAGCCTCTTTATTCAATTGCTTGAGATTGGAAAATTATGTTTTGCTAGGTGAATTTCCATCAACACCAATCAAATCAACGACTCCAGTCTCTTCGCTGAAGAATTTGAGCTTGGTGGTTGTGTTGAATATAATGTTAATTTATGTGAAATTTGAACGATATACTGATGTGAGATGTTCGGGGTGTAGACCAAATCATTTCTTGTTTACTTTATATGATGATTGTTTAGTGTAAAATCATACTATTTACCCAAGACTCTCACAACCAGACGGTGAAATTACTTGGAATAATTCCTTGAGAACAGAGTTGTAATGTCCTAAAGAATAAGGAATAACACAAATACCCTACCTTTTAAGGGAAATGATTGACTAACAGACTTAAGACTTATTTATGAACAACCCAATGATGGCTTCTTCATTTTTCCTCAGAATTCATAGAAAGATCCAAAGTGATGCCCTTATATTTTGGACTCCTTTTAATCTCTCATTGACATCTACAACACCTTTCAGTACTCTTTTGTAGTTAGCACCACCATCACCATGTATGGTTCTGAGGTCACCCTTTTTGGTAGGGTATGTTAATTCCATAGAAAAACTGAGGTCAACCCAAAAGAAGGGTATGTGGCTGGTTTGAAGTTTATCTTCTTCTGCCACAGATAAGGATCCAATGCATGAAAGGGGAGATATAAAGGACCTGCTTTGTATGAACTATCAGATCGTAGGTCACATTTTTATTGGATTCTAGCAAGATAGTCATTATAGAGATATGTGGGCTTGTTGTGAACCAAGAATTTTTTTTTTTTTTTTCGTGAAATCATGTGTGAAGTTATTTTATAACCTTACAATAACTTTCTTTCATTTTTACTCTAAGTATTTAAAAATAAAAAATTGTTTTTAAGAATATTGAAAGATAAGCAAACGTACTTTTATATATGTTCATGAATAATATTATGGTAATAATATTCTCAAAACGTAATTTCTAGAAATACAATATTTTACCTCAAAAAAAATTATCTTGAGTATAATGAAGTGAAATGGAAATTTTTAGAAGAAATTATAAAACTAGCGACGCGAGTGTTTGAAAATCAATCATTATATACTTTAAACTTCTATAATATATGTCTCATTAAACTATTTCAAATTCGTTTTAAGTTGAAATGGTATTAAAGTAAAAAAAAAAATCTTCATTGTTGTCATGGATAAAAATGTGTTCTTTTATTTTAGATTAAAAGTATCATTTTATATGGTACGATAGGCTTTGTTAATATCCTATATATATTATAAGTTATAGTGTGATGGGCTTAATGAAACAGAGGCATGGGCTCGATGGGCCGTGTTTGTGCTGCTTGAAAAGTGGTGATTTCTTGATGGTGCAGAGTGCATGGCCTAACCCTTTTATCTGTTTTCATATTTCGTTTTATCTTTATCACTTAATTGAATTCCAATGTTTTTTTCAGACAAACTTATCCATCACTAAAATTAAAATTGTATTATAAGAGAAATTATTAAATATAAAATATAATTTAATATAAATATATTTATTAACTACATTCTAATTTATATAATTAATATTTAATTATTTATATATTCATTACTAGAGGTGTAAACATGGGTTCTAATTCAGTAAGTCAATCTGGCTCACCACGGGTTCGAGTTGGATTGGTTTTGATTTTGTTCGAGTCGGATTGGTTTTGATTTTGTTCGAGTCGGATTGGTTTTGATTTTTTCATTCTACTAATGAGTTAAAAATGAACCCAGTTCATTTAACCCACAAGTTAAGCGGGTTCAAACCGGTTTAATGGTAGGTTGATTCATTTTAAATTTTAAAAATAATTTATTGTAATTTAATAAATTTAATGGATGGTTTTTTTTCTTCACCTCTATTCCATTTCGTTACAATAAGTCAAATTCTTATTTAAGGTTATCATCAATTACGTTATAATGTTCACGTTTCAGTTCTACGTTTGTCACACCAGGGCATTTGTCACGTTACCATGTTTCACTTGTGTCATAGTATTTGCCACATTTCGGTTGTATTTATAGAGTTTGTTGTGTTACCCAGTCATTACGTTTAGTCACTGCTATTCGAGTCATACTTATTAGAAAAAATAAATGTGGATTAGTGAGTCAATCCACCTAACCCACCAATCTGTAGTAGGTTGAGTTGGATTGTGAAATTTCTGACTTACGATATAATAAACTGAGTTAAGTTGGTCTATTTTTAACTCAGCATATAAATAGTCAACCCGTGTTTTGTAATATACATTTAAGTGGAAAAAAAAAATACCAATAACTCATTAATCTAATTGAAATTAAATTCGATCTCTTAAAAATAAATGGAAGATGAGTCCAAATATTGTTTTTAATTTTTTTTTTCTTTTTCACGTACTAATATTTCTACCATTTTCAAACACCCACTAACAAAAAAAAACTGGAAACACAGATTTGTTGATTTTGAGAACCACAAATCTGTAATCACAAATACAAATATCTATCTTGACTTTGGTTTATATTGGTCCATTTAGGTAACCTATTCTTTGAATTGTCATTTGCAAACACAAATTTTGATATGAAGTTCCGATGAGTGGAAACCAGTGAAATTGAACCTTTTATGACTTTTTATAATCCATTCGTTATATAATTTAAAATTAATATAAATAATTGACTTAAATATAATTTAAATTTCTGTACATATTGTTATGCTTTGTTTTAGTTTTTGTAGTTTTTTTTTTAAATACATGATAGTGTTATTTTTTGTAATCTTTTTATAAATGTAGTACCAAATATATTTAAATTTTGTTTCTTTAAGAAGCATGTGGTTTGACTATAATGCAAATATATTGGTAGTGTCGTGTTTCAAATTGGAATTCAAAACAATTTTTTATCATAAGATTCTTCGTTCTCTTATGGGTCTAATTTTCCAGGGATGCTATTCTCCCACTCGGTTAGGAAAATAAATTTTAATATTTTAATTAACATTTATAGTTTCCAACTTCAGTCCAATTTTAATTACTTGTTATCTCTTTCTAGAAAATAAAAAATCAATAAATTTGAAATATAAATCAATGTAAAATCATGAGGATTTTTGTTTCAAACCGATTTAAAAGTAAACCGAACCAAAAAGTTGACCCAAGAATGGGAAAGCAGGTTTTGCTTTATTTCTAGTTAAGTCTGCGGAAAGATTGAGTGGGTAAAAATTTTCTTATATCTGTCATCACTTATTATTTTTTAATAATATTTTTATAATATTAAAAAAATATTTCACTTTCCATTTATTTTTAATTCAAATAGCCTCGTTTCTTATGTATTTCTATATTTTTTTATTTTCTTCAATTAAATTGATAATTTTTTATGGCCTGAAACCGTGAAGCGGGAAGAGGGGAAGTTAGGTTACGTAACTTAATTGGAAACGCAGAGTTCAGTCAAAGAGATTTGACGTAACGCTGGGTGGGACCCACTCGCCATAACAACCATTGACCCTTTCCTTCCCATTTCCCAACTTTCGTTACTCATTCTAAACTTGTCATTATTCCAACTCCTCATGCTTCTCTGGGTGGGACCCTCATATTCTTTGACTTTTTCTTTTTCTTTTCTTTTTTCAACAAAGGGAATCTAATCTTTCAACTTAGATTTCCCAATATTATTATTATTATTATTCAATTCACACGTATATATCCTACTAAGAACATAATTCAACTCCCACATACATCGAATAAATAAATGACTCATTACAAAAAATAATTTCATAAATGAAAAACAGATCACTATATTTTCATTTCATTTCGAGACATATACTACTTCAGGTCACATTTACAAAAAAAAGTCGTCGTCAAATTTAGACGACTCCGTCAAAGTCCACAGCGCAAAAGTTGACTCCATCCATGCCAGTTGTTCGCTTCCGCCGTTACCGTCACGGCCCGACGGACATGTCCGTCAAGTTTCTGAAACGACGCCGTTTGTTAACTCGCTCAAAGGCCGAAACCACCGCCGGTAGCGGCAGGTAACGGCAGCGCGTGACGGTGCTCTCCCTCGTACGTCACTATCAGCATCTTCGGGTCATCTTGCGCGCGCTCCACGTGCTTCCTCGCCGGACACCCTCTCAAGGTGCTGCACTTATAGTACCCACTGCCATTACCAAACCCAGATTAAACTCCATTAATCACTACTCAAATTTTAAATGAAGGACAAAAACATAATGAAATTTCAATTCTAAATTCCAATTGAGTAACGTGTTAATTATTTAAATTAATGAAGCCAAGTTTCAGTTCTAATGGAAGAAAATTACTAATACTAACGTTCAAGGGACCTACTGTATATGAATGTTATGCAATTAAATTAAAAATCGATTTTGTTTTAAAAAGGAAAGGACTTTGAGATCTGCATTTGACTTTGATCGGTTCAACATGGTGATGGAAGAAAGAACAGAAAAGTACCGAGGATAAGGTGAACCCTTGATCGGTTTTTGTCCGTATTTTCTCCACGAGAACTCGTCCGGCGGGATGTCGGCGATCTTGGAACTTATCGCCGGGACGCGGATCGTCCGTTTCATGCGCGATTTCCTGAGAAAAAAGAAATTAACATCAGTTTCTTTGTTTGTGGTTTAAATTATTAATCTTTTATGAAGGGTGTGAAGAAAAACCTTTTCTTGGAGCAGTGGCAGGAGGATTTAGCGGAAAGGGCAGCTTCGCGGCACTTTTTCCGGTGAGAGGAGGAGAGAGGGGGTTTGGCGGCGGAGGGAGGGAGGAAAGGGCCGATCTTGCCGTCGGAGACGCTGGCGTCGTTGGAGATGGAGGACAAAAAGGAGGAGGAGGTGGTGGTGGTGGTGGAGAGAGTGAGGGTTTCGTCTTTGATGCAGGGCTTAGAGTTAAGAACAGTGGGTTTAACGAAATCTAAAGTAAAGCCTTGTTGGGTTTGGGGTTGTGGTTGGGTCAGGGCCTGGGTTTGGGCTTGGGGTGGTGCGCGGCGGAAGCGGGCGTGGCCGGTGCGGTTGAGGAGGTTGATGACCTGTTTGAATTTGGAGACAGTGAAGTCGGTGATTTGGGAGCAGTCGAGGTTGTTGAGTTTAACGTTGTTGTTGTTAGAAGAAGAAGAAGAATTGGAAGCAGAGGGAGAAAGGAGTCGAATGAGATGGTCCATGCTTTTGAAACCAGCAGAAGCAGCTTCTTGTATTGCTAACTGTTCCTCCATGGTGGTTCTGGGAAGAAGGTCCATCGTATCCACAGCCATGAAACGAGAAGAATTATGGGAAGAAGGAGAGAAAACGAGGTTTGAGTTTTAGAATCTGGTTTTGGTGAGGGTAGGGGAGAGGTTATAAAAGAGAGAGGGAGGGTTGGAAAGTCAAACAAGTTTCGTGGATCCGAGGGCGAACATTGGTTGCAACAGAGGAAAGTACGCCACGACAAAGCAAGAGGTACTGTGAAGGTCCAAAAGTGGTGTTGCTGGTGGCTCCCACTTTCCTTCCTTCAGTGGGCAACAGATAAGAGACCAGAACACCCAAAAAAGTAAATTCCACACCATTACAAAATATCATCATGCTTAATAATATCCCTTCTCTGCACTTTTTTTTTTTTTTATTAAATCTAATTTTCTTATTATATAACAATATTTTATTTTCACTGTTTAAAAATCACGTAAACTCTTCATTTCCAAATTCTCTGCAAATAGCTCAGTCAACGCTTTTAAAAGCTATGTACTACTTTTCTTATGGCCAAGAAAATCCAAAAGCTATGGTCACACTAACATGATTTTTTTCTACATTGTTTTTTGTATTAATAAATTATATTATTTATAAAAAAATAAACAAATTGTTTATCTTATTTTATTAATTACATAGATAAGCATATTATAGTGGTAAGCATCACACAACAATAACTAAATAAAATTAACCAAATGGAAAATACAAATATAATTCTTATTATTATACTACAAGTAATATTTTAGTGTTCAATAAATGCCCACAAAATAAATCAAAGGAAGAGCAACGAAGTCATCAACTCCTTTTCTTTTTTCCTTTTGTTTATGGTTGACCATGTGCTTGGTGTAAAAGTAAACAACAAGTTATGTACTTTAGTTTTTGAAATCAAGCATTGATTCTTGATACGATTATAATAAAAGTAGAACATGTATCATTAATAATTCACAACATGAAACCACGTAAAATGGATCATTCCTTTTGATTTATTTTCCAAAGTCAAAGACTCAAACCCTAATTTACCCATGGGAAAGAGAAACGTTATGATGCCGTTTGCTATAAAAATATAAATAAAAGTATTCAAAGCATTCTTTTTGTCATTTCAATGCATGGAGTCACTTTTCTGGATAGTTTCAAAAGCGGGGAATCAAAACAACTATTTTTGCTAAGTTTTTTTTTTTTTTCAAGTTTTAAATTTTAAAAGATAAATATTAAAAATCATACTCTAATATTTTTAATTTAACATTTTAATATTTCTTAAGATTAAAATATGCTTTTAATTATTTATCACATTTTTAACTCATTTGATCCTTTATATTTAAAAGAAATAAATCAATATTTTATTATCTATTAATTTGGATGAATTTGGTCATTCGAAAGTGCTGGTTCTTTATTTATTTTACTTTGGAATATGATGATGTTTCTTTTTTAGTAGGAAATATGATTTTGTTTTGTTAATTCAAGATGTAAAACTTGTATTGTTATATTTACATATATATGAAATTTAAAAAGCTTAATTGATATTTAAACAAAAAATGACCATATATAAACATGCTGGAACTTGTGTGAGAAATAAATATAATGAGAAAAAAAAAGAATGACAATTCTATATATATATATATATATATATATATATATATATATATATATATATATATATATATTATTTCAATTATCTGAGACTCATTTTTCACATGAATTTTACCATATTTTGAGTTAGTAAAAAAAATATTCAAAATTCTCTAAAAATTGTCACTATTCAATAAGTATCAAATTGTCCCAATTTAAAAGAAATAACTAAAACGATACTTTATTATTATTTAAAAAAAAGTTGCAAAATATAATATTAAAATAAAATAAAATATAATTAACCTTGTTATTTATAATAATTGAATTTGTTAAAAATCCTTGAGAAAAAAGCATACCAAACCACACGCGTTAGACACTATTACAATTCTAGAATTAGAATCTATTCTGTATGTTACTGCATGTTTTCATCCACCACACAAATTGAATTTATTTTACATGAAGTAAAAGGAAGATTTTTATAAAATATATTTGGTTTAACTCAATTTTACAAAACCAATTTATAAAATAAAATTTTATTTATTAATATACATGATACTATTAATACATCTTTTCGTATCAATATATTATATTACATATATTACTAGACTGTAAAATTAGATATTCAATAAACTCAACAAACTTTATTAAAATAAACTTTAATATATTATACAAAAAAATTAGACTTAACTTAATCTTCTAAGATCATCTCATAAGATAAGATTTATATTCCTTCTTTTTGATATATGTAGATTAATTCGGAATTTTTATAATTTATGATAATTGTAGTGGAGGGAGGCATAATTTGAGGCTTTTGTCATGGCAGAGAATAGGTGAGGCACAATTGAATTCAATTGGACATAAAGAAGGTTCCGTTTGACATTTATTATGATGTTTTTTTTTTTTTTTTTTAAACATTGACATTAGTAATGTGTTCAACGTTTTAGTGCAACTACCACGTAAGATCACTACATCCACACAATAGTAAAGCATTTGAACATGGTTACAGGGGCAACGGATGACCGTGGGATGAGTCCACGATGATCCAACGGTGATGGGTGCGGTGGCTGTGGTGGTTGACCTAAGGTTAGGTTTGAATAATGGCAAAGCACATGATGCCCCATTTGGAGTTTGGGTCAAAGCTACCAAGACACAGTAAGAGACAACAACCTTGTCACAGATTGGTTTTCTGGCTCATCCCTGTTCCAAACAAATTCATATTCATTAATATTTTTTATTTAAATAAAGGATAAAATTTTACATTAACTATTTAATAATATTATTAATCTCACGTTCATTAAAATAATATATAAATAAATATAATTCTTATATTTTCAAATTTATTTTTAAGGTTGAATTAAGTATTTTATTATTTTTAAGACAATATTAAAATCAACTAAAAATAGAAAGTGATAAAAAAATCTATCTCAAAAAACATGGATGTGATATATAAAAGATGTGATAAAAAATTCTAATAATAAAATGTAAAATTTACATATAATAATTTTATAATATATAAATGAGTTAAATTTTTATTATACTATATCTTTTTTTTAAGTTGAATTAAATATCTTATAATTTTTTTTATAATAAATAATACTTTTAACAACTCTTATAAATAGATAATAAATAAAAAAGTGTGAAGATAAATATTTTCTATTATTATATGAATAAAAAATATTTTCAATTTTTTTGGTATAAGTAAAATTTTATTTGTTGTGTTCGTTGACTTGTGATGCAGTGAACTTGTTCAAACTTATAATGTTTGGGTTTCTGGAAACATTTTTTTCCAAAACACTTATAAATATATAAAAATGTTCTCATATATGAAACATTCTAAAATATCAATTCAAAATAATTAAAAAACAATTATGGATTAGACCTTTTAAAATACACTCAAAATTCTCATTATGAAATATATATTCCTAACATATTTCAAGAAAATATATTCCGAAAACTTTCTAACACATTATGGGTTACAATTTCCATAAAATATAAGATTTTCAAAAGGTTATTTTCATCATTACATTATAAAAGAAAGTGCAGAAGAAAATATAGAGGTGTAAATAACAAAAAGTCTGCAACACAACTTTATAATAAAACAAACATATTTGAATTGCTAAACTTTTTATTGGGTTGCCTTGTGTTAAAACGGGCTGAAAGCCCATTTTGCTTATAACCTATCACCATTTTTTTAATTATTTATATTTTTCGTTAATGTTAGGTTTTTAAAACCATTACACATAGGATTGACTAATTAAGTTTGTTTGGTTTATAAATTAAAAACCATAAGTTAATAGATATTTGAATTTTTTATAATGTAAAAGATAATGTTCAGAATTTTCAATTTTTTAGATACAATTTTTCTTTTTTTCTTTTTTTTTTTGTTTAGCCAATTTACTATTAATTTTTCCTTTTCATTAAATTTTAGTTCAACTCTATTATTTAAAAAAAAAATCAAAAGAAACTTATCTCAAGTCCATGTTTTAAACACGTACAAAAATAATTAATAATTTGCTAAAAGTAAGGAATAACTAATTTCATGAGCATAAAAATTCTTCTTCCAGTTCCATTATATATAAATGAATAAATAAAATTATAAATAATTAAAAATTAAAGGCTAATATTACAGGAAAATTTTTTAGAGACAAAAATTGCTTATTTTGTGAGACATTAAAACGGAAATTGAAGAAAAGAATATAGAAATCAAAATTATGAATTTTACAAAGTATAGGATCAAAATTACAATATAAGCCTAATTGTTTTCTTAAAAAAAGCATTCAATACGAACCAATAAAATGAAAATTGGTGTCAAAGTTAAATTTGGATATATGAATTTAATTATAGTAAATCTTTATTACAGATTGGAAAACTTATAAAGCATATGAATTTGATGATAAACATTGATCATATAGAGAGTTTAAATGCATGACAGAGAATAAAAATTAATTATTTTGAATTTATTTTTCTCATTATTAATTAATATAAACATTTACGTAAATATTCATAATATTTAATAGAGATAAATAAAAACAAAATATAAATGTTTTGTACAAATTATAAAATATTTTATGTGATTTATATTAAAAAATAGTGGGGCTATGCTACAAAGGTCAACTAAGAATCTTGTACCACCGAATCTGCCATAAATGCAAAGTAATCTTATGAATTTAGATCTATTTTAATCTTATACAAATAGATAAGATTATTATAAAATTATTTAATAAAATGGTTAAGAAAAATCTAAGAAAAACAATTGAAAAAAATAAAGAAAGTAAAGATTTTAATTAGTAGTATAACTTTAACAAATTGGTTCAAAAAGCAACTTCCATTAACGTCATTCTCATTTATTATATTCATTTCTCCTTCTTGAACATCAAGTGATACATTAATAAGGAGAAGACCAGCAACAACACTGTTTCAATATTTTCAACTTTATGATTCAATGAAAGTTCATTCTCATTCATGTTATATACTTCTCTTTTTCTGAAGAAACACCAATAACATTTCGCAACCTCTTTCTTCTCTTCTTCTCTTCTTCTCTCTCATTTTATACCCTTATTTTGCTTCAACCATGATCAAAGGTAAAGATGTGTATGATGTTGTGGCAGCACTTATGCCCCTCTATGTGGCTTTGATCTTAGCCTATGGCTCCGTGCGTTGGTGGAAGATCTTCACCCCCGAACAGTGCTCTGGCATAAACCGTTATGTGTCGGTTTTTGCAGTGCCCTTCCTCTCTTTCCATTTCATATCGGCCAATAACCCTTACACCATGAACTTCAGATTCTTAGCCGCGGATTCTCTTCAAAAGGTTGTGGTTTTGGTTGCACTTGTTTTGTGGAACACTTTCACAAAGTGGGGTAGCATTGACTGGACCATCACAGTGTTTTCACTCTCCACTCTCCCCAACACTCTCATCATGGGGGTTCCTCTTTTGAAAGCCATGTATGGAGACTTCACAGCCACCCTCATGATCCAAATTGTGGTCTTCCAGAGTGTGATTTGGTACACTCTTTTGCTGTTCATGTTTGAATATAGAGGAGCTAAGCTACTCATTTCAGAACAATTCCCTGATACAGCAGGTGCCATATTCTCCGTTAGGGTTGATTCAAATGTTGGTTCTCTCAATGGTAGAGAGCCATTACATGCTGATGCAGAAATTGGAGAAAATGGGGAACTCCACGTGGTGGTGAGAAGCATGTCACGTTCTTTGTCCATAAACATGGCTTCTACATTCCACAAGTCTTATTCAACACCTAGAGCATCAATTCTCACGGGGTTCCCGTCATATAGAGAACCATTTAGTCTTCAAAAGGCAGGTTTTGAGGAGGGGATGGTGAATATGCATGAGAAAAGGTTCTGCAGGAGCAAGAGTGACAGTAACCGGGTTTTCAATAGCAGTTTGGTTTATTCATACCCCTCTGAGAAACCAGTGTTTGCAGGGTTTAATAGTGGTTTGATTTCTTCATACCCTTCTCCAAAACCAATGATTGGAGGGTTTAATAGTAGGAGTTTGAATGCATCGTCAAATTCTAATGCTAATCAGAGACATGATTTTCCACATGGACCTGCTGCTTCAAAAGGTAACACTCATTTTCTTTATTTTTGAAGAAGGTATAACATTCAGAAATTTTGCATCTGTCATTTACCTGAAAATGTGACTAATTACACGTATAAAAGTTATTGATTGTATTTTAAAACAGTTAAAAATAATTAAACATGATTGTATATTGTGCTTATCAATATGTTTAAAAGATTCACTATGCTATCGGAGTAATTCACTTTGTTTCATAAGTGGATAATAATATATCATAAGATTATTTATATCATGAGATTTTTTATGTGTCTAAGGACCGGCAAGTTTTAACTTTTGACCGATTATAATGTTATTCAACTATTAAAATGTCTAATAATTTATCATTTGTAAAACAGAATTAACCACGTTTACATTTTATTATTAAATAAAAATTATTTTTGAACTCTACTTTTATATTTGTCAATATCTTTATACTATATTATGTATTGTGTTTTTCATTTGTCAAATGTTATATAGATTAATTCTATAAAATATAATGAAAATTATAATTTTTTAATATAGATATTAGTTTTGTAATATTTATGTTTGATTTAATAATATATGTACATTTACATGTATATATTCATATTAAAAGTCATATATTGAAAGCAAACATGTTATATTATTAAATTTAATGAATATATTATATTTAATAAATATCAATACTATTAGCATATTATAAATAATTTGACTGTTCAATAACATTAAGTAATATATTAATATTTAGTCAAATTATCTAGAAAAAAATAGAGATAAAGTTTTACATATTTATTCATGATTTTACTCTATACTTCAACATTTCAAAATTTATATCAAATAATTAATACACATTAATAAAAGTATTCATTTTTATTGCATTATTAATGAAATGTTATTTTTAATTCGTATCATAAATTAAATTGATTTTCAATAGAAATAAATACTATATTTATGAAATAATATGTAGTCAAATTAACAAACTAAGTGATAAATTTATTGTATGTCTATCATTAATCAATATCATATTATCGTATAATTAAGTTTTCGATTTTATAATATGTTTTATGAACCAATTAATTTTAGAATTAATAAAAATGATTAATTTTTACTGTATTAAACATATATTTTATTTTAAATTTACTGAATATATTTGATTAATAAATATCATATTTAATATTTTATAAATACAATTTGACTGTCCATTAACATTATATACTATTTGTTTTATTCAATGTTGTATAATCTTTTATTCAATATAATAGTCAAATAAATAGATATAAGAAATCTATTTATTTTTAAATCAATGTAGTGAACTTGTTTATATATATATATATATATATATATATATATATATATATATATATATATATATATATACATATATATACATATATATATATAGCTTCTTCTTTTTTTAACTCATTGGATAGATACTATAACCATTTGAATTTTGTTTTGTTTTGTTTTTTCCTCTAAATATGCTTGATAAACTATTTTGCTTAACAGTATAAATAATATATGGATTTGATCATTGAATAGTAATAATTATTTTTATTTAGTAATATATTTTTCTTATATAGATATAGATATGTACAACAAGTCATATATTAATAAATATATTTAATCATTTACATATTATATTTAATAAATTATAAGTAGAATTTACTATTCAACCATTTAAATATTGTCTTTATTAAATATAATATATTAAAGTCAGTGTACATAATGTTAAATATGTCATTTGTATATTTATAATCATAATATATTTATTAAATTTTATTAAATATAATATATATTTAGAAGGATTTAATTTTAGTATTTATAAAATTTGTACAATATTCTATTAACTATAATATATATTATAATTTGTAAAAAAAGTCAAACTCCAAATTGATACTACTACTAGAGTGGTGTTCATTACTCAAATGGACCTAAATGGAGTGTGCTCGTCCATCTGGAACTTCATTGAATTAATGGATATACTTTAAGAAGTAGAAGAAATAGTAATTAAGCAGGATGTTGAAATTGATTCTATTGCATTTTCTTCTTCATATTTGAAAGAAAAGTTTTAATTTTTTTTAATAAAAAAGCGAAAAGTTTTTAAATTTGATTTGTGGGAGCCATAGCAATTGTGGTTAGTAACATTTGTAATAATTATAAACTGGGAAAATTTGGGATTAACTAAAACTTTTGTAGCAGTCCATGGACTTGTAATTGAGGAAGAAACAGAACATACTGTTAAGGGGACACAAAAAGAGGTGAACAATGAAGAAGTTCATGCAAACAAAAATCAACAAATTCCACGTGCTAGTGTGATGATAAAGCTTATTCTCACCATGGTTTGGAGGAATCTCATAAGAAACCCTAACACCTATGCAAGTGTTTTGGGTCTTGTTTGGTCTCTCATATTTTTTAGGTATATTTTCCCTGTCTCTTTTTACATGTCTTTCAAGATTGATACCATCGATAGAAAATCACAAAAGTTTTAAACTTTTTGTTAATAGCATTCTACATTGCCACTCATCAATAGTTATTTCTTGTTTGTAGGTGGAACATCAAAATGCCTTCTATTATCAAAGGTTCCATTGAAATAATTTCTGATACAGGATTAGGAATGGCCATGTTCAGTCTAGGTAAGTACTTGTCTTTCACCATTTTTTTTCTTCTTTCTGACTTGGTGCCAACAAATTTGGCTTCATCTTTATTTTTTAACAACAAAAACTATGCTTAATTTACCCCATAAAACTATGTATTTTTGTAATAAATGTTTAATTTTATAATATTTTTTTTCAGTTATTACTATTTACGACCATTTATTGTTTCTTTTTAATTTGTTTTAAAACTTCGAAGCATGATAATAATAAAATTTACAGTGATTTCTTATAACTCGATTGATTTATTTTTAAAAATTGTTAATAGTGTTTTACTGAATTAAACAGGTTTATTCACGGCATTACAACCTAAGATCATTACTTGTGGAAAAACCAGGGCAACACTTGCATTGGCAATTAAGTTCTTGGTTGGTCCATTTATGATTCTTGCAACCTCCAAAATCATTGGTATCCATGGAGTTCTTTTACGAGTTGCAATTGTTCAGGTGAAAATAAAACCTAATTGTGATTCAAACTAGTCAAAGTTCATTTATAATATAGTTGTTTTTGTGACACCGTACGTGGTGTAATTTTGTAGGCTGCTCTTCCCCAAGGCATTGTCCCATTTGTATTCGCAAAAGAATATAATCTCCATGCAGACATACTCAGCACAGCGTAAGTGTCTGTCTTTGATAAATTACTCTAATTCTAAAAATAGTATTCAAGTTCTAAGAAAGTTTCACAAATTTTGCAGGGTTATCTTTGGAATGGTGGTTGCGTTGCCCGTAACAATACTTTACTACGTAATTCTTGGACTTTAATTGGATGGATGCATGTACGTAGTAGCATTTGATGTGGTGTTAAAATTCATGTGTAAAATAATATATCTTTTAAGTACATAAGTTCACAATATTTCTCTATTTTTTTCACATTACTTTGATCTTTCTTTGTAAAAATATGTTAATAGCTGTTCTGTTTTTAAGTTGAATATATAACAACATTATCCTTCTTCTTATTTTTCATCACCAAACCTCAATATTCTTTGTGAGCCACTGGTTTGTGTTAGTTCAATTTGTGCCTTTTCTTGTTTGAACTAAAATGTTTAAATTTTTTGTGTTTGTCTTGAATCTTGCAAATCCATCCATGCGTGTTGTTCATCCTTCTTCTTGAAAATTCTTAGTTTAATCCATTAGATTTGATGTTATTTGATGTTTAGGTGTTAAATAGGGTTGATGAAAGTATCATTTAGAACACAATAATGGTCCAAATTGTGGTTTCCCAAAGTGTCATTTGGAACACTATTTTAACCTTTAAAAAAATAAAAATTGATTGATGTTTTCAAACTTTAAATATGATTTTTTTATTCTCAATTTATTTTTAAATAAGTTACATTAATATTTATATTCCTAATAAACAAGAACAATGTATTTATTGATAAAATGATTTTTTTTTTATAAAGGACCTATCTATTGTTATTCTTAATTTATTTGAAAAAATTATATCTACAAATAATCTATAAACGGATGAAGACTTCTAGAAACAAATTAATTTTGAATTGAAATTAAAATTAAATTCTGTTATGTGAGGTTTTTTAGTTACTAAAAAAAGTTATATCTGTTTGAATAAAGAGGGATAGTAACTTAAAAAAAGTCTTGAACTGAAAATATAATGAAGTGTCCAATGCATATGAGTTTTCAGCATCGTTGAAAATCTGTTGAGGTTCCAACGCATAGTGTGTACGCATCGCAAAACAATGCAACCAGAAACCACAGTAGAATTGAAACCAGAATATAAGCCAATGATTTGATTCTGCAAGTGGGAATTTAATAATCTCGTGAATCAAGGGAGCGTCTCAACGCAGACCTGAAAATCATGTTAATGGCTAGGGAAGAATCCGATTTCAGCACCACCTGGTTGAATCCAAGGTTTCAATTATGTAATGCTTATTACATCTGCAGATTTCTTCCATATGCTAGCAAATAACATCTGCTATATATTTGTTGCTAACTGATGGGAACTTACAATTTTAATGCAGGACTACAAGAGAAAAATAATTTTTAAAATCATACATTTATTGAGATTGTGATAAAATTATTTCACCTTATTAAATGCACCCGAGATTTTGTTCACACGGCGCATCAAAAAGTCAATGAAAATCAATACATGTGTACATTACAAATCCATCACAGAAGAAGCTTTTCACACGACTGAAGAATAACTACAAAGGTTTTCATTTACGATCAAACACTACGTTACCTTCTCTTTTCTAATCCTAGCTAGTCTCTATGTGCCATAGAACCATATCGTGTCCAAACACGTTTATGAAATGATATATATAGTGTTGCCAAACGAAGCTTAGGGGAGAATGATCAAGTCACATTTTGAGTGTGTGAACTGTGAATGACACCTAAGCGAGTAAGTCCTTTATTTACTCTCGTTTGTTGTATTTTTTTTTTTCTTTATGAAACAACTTTAAATGAGACTCACTTTTTATTATGTTTCTTTCTGCTTTAAGACGACACGTAAACAAGAGGAAGACCAGCATTGAATATATTTCAATATTTTCAACCTTTTTCAGCACCATTCTCGCGAGTGTTACTTCTTATTCGGTTATATATAAATATACAGTTATTCGATTAAACACTCACCAATTCACAAACTCTTTCGTTTCCCTTTCACCCTCATTGTCTACCTTTATTTCGCTTCAACCATGATCAAAGGTAAAGACTTGTATGATGTATTGGCAGCGATTGTGCCCCTCTATGTGGCTTTGATCTTAGCCTATGGCTCCGTGCGTTGGTGGAAGATCTTCACCCCCGAACAGTGCTCTGGCATAAACCGTTATGTGTCGGTTTTTGCAGTGCCCTTCCTCTCTTTCCATTTCATATCGACCAATAACCCTTACACCATGAACTTCAGATTCTTAGCCGTGGATTCTCTTCAAAAGGTTGTGGTTTTGGTTGCACTTGCTCTGTGGAACACTTTCACAAAGAGGGCTAGCATTGACTGGACCATCACACTGTTCTCACTCTCCACTCTCCCCAACACACTCATCATGGGGATCCCTCTTTTGTCAGCCATGTATGGAGACTTCACAGCCTCCCTCATGATCCAAATTGTGGTCTTCCAAAGTGTGATTTGGTACACTCTTTTGTTGTTCATGTTTGAATATAGAGGAGCTAAGCTACTCATTTCAGAACAATTCCCTGATACAGCAGGTGCCATATCCTCCGTCAGGGTTGATTCAAATGTTGGTTCTCTCAGTGGTAGGCAGATACTACAAACCAATGCAGAAATTGGAGAAGATGGGAATCTTCATGTGGTGGTGAGGAGCATGTCACGTTCTGTGTCCGTTGCATCAAACCTCACCGGGATTCAGATCTATTCGGTGGAGTCATCTATAGAACCAAGGCTGAGAAATTCAAATTTTAGTGCCACAGATTTGCACCCTCATGGCCTCAAAAGAGAGGGGATGTTGAAGATGCATGACAAAGGTTTTTCGAGGAGTAAGAGTGTTGGTCATGATTTGGCTTCCCAATATCCGTCTCTAAAACCAACAGGGTCTAACCATGGTGGCCAAAGAAACAAGGGGTTGCACATGTTTGTTTGGAGTTCAAGAGCATCATCGCCAACTTCTGATGTTAACGTGAGACATGCAGCGAATAATAGAGTTGACTCTTCTGACTTTGGGACCATGGGATCTTTGAAGGGTGCTGATTTTGCAAATGAAACCGCAGCATCAAAAGGTAAATTCATCTCACAATAATCACATTTACGCATGACGCACACTATCAGACTCCAAGACTCTGTATTTTGTCTTATGTCCGCGAATCCTGGTTCAATGAGATAGATAACCTTGCATTTTGAAGAGTAATTGAAGAGTAGTTCACAGGAGTAGTGATATTTTCACAACCAAACCATGAGTACCTTTAAACAATTTATTTTTATTAATATAATAATTTATAAAATGATTGAATAAAAATAAAAATAAAATAAAATTATTATTATAATAAGTGGTGATATTTTGACTACAAAAATTCATACAACCCTTTAAATAATTTATTTTTATTAATATAATAATCTATCGAATGATTTAATAAAAATAAATTAAAACTATTATTATAATATTAAAAAAGAGTTGTTTATAGAAATTGTATTAATTTAGGTTGTCAAAAGTATCATTTTTCTATTATAATATTAAAAGAGAATTATTTATAAAAGTGGTATAGATTTGGATTGCAAAAATATCATTTTACTTCACAATATATTATCAACTTTTAAAAACCCTCGGACACTTGGTGAATACTATCACTATTTAATGTTTTATTTTATAAACTATATATTCATGATAATAGTCACACATTATAATTGCTTCTTCTGTTTTGTTCAAGTGTTTAGTGAACAGTAAAAAAAGGAAAAAAAAGTAATTTTTCCTATATATTATTATTATTAAATTATATATTATAATTTCAGTATATATTTAATAATACTGGAAGTTCAACGTCAACTAAACACATTTTGTAAATGTAGATGTGGATGAAGAGGTGGAAATTGAAGGTATGGAAGATCCTGTATTGGGGAGGAAGACGAAGAAGAAGATTGAAGGAGATTCAAACAGAAGACATGAAATGCCACGCGCTAGTGTGATGATAAAGCTTATTCTCACCATGGTTTGGAGGAATTTGATGAGAAACCCTAATACCTATGCAAGTGTTTTGGGTCTTGTTTGGTCTCTCATATTTTTCAGGTATATTTCCCATTTCTTTCTTCATTAATTCCATCCATGGAAAATCACACCCAAAAGTAAAAAGAAAAAAAACTATTAATTGTTAATAATATATTCATGAATCATGGTTGATTTTGAGCAGGTGGAACATGAAAATGCCATCTATTATAAAAGCTTCCATTGAAATACTATCTAATACCGGGTTGGGAATGGCCATGTTCAGTTTAGGTATGTATTATTTTTTTTATCTTACGTAACTTTTTTTATAACATTAATAAATTTTGCATGAACACAAATATTCTTTATTGTTTCTTTATAGAACATATTGAGTTCTGTACACTCTTATCTATAGAGGTATCAATATACAATATGGTTTAAGAATCTTTGGAACAAGATTTAAGAAATTTTGATCGAACAGTCTTTGGTGACAGATAATTATAATATTTATTCAATATTTAAAAAAATATAGTACTTAATTGATTTTTAATAAATTTTGATGTTTGATTAACTTCTATAGTATTTATGAGAGGTTATTCAATCTAAATATTAATCCAACAAACAAGAACGTGAATAATTTTAACTTGTGATGTCTGTCACCTAAAATAAGACAAAATCAACCATTTAAGGCACGTTGGATAGTAACGAAAGAAAATGTAAAAGAACAGAAAAGAAAGATATATGAAATAGAGAAAAATTATACTTGCTTTTGAGAAGATTGTGGTATGATAAGGAGAAAGAATTTTTTAAAATAATAAATTAATTAATTAAAATTAAGTATTTGTATTCATTTATTAACTAATTTTGTATAAATAAAATAAATTTTTAAATCAATACTTTTAAATTATGCTTTATTTAATAGTATATATATATATACACAAAATTATATATATATTTTAAATATTTAATTTTGAATTAATAAAATATATTGTATTATAGAAAAATATGAAGTATATAAAATGATTTATTTAATTTTTATTATAATTTTCATATTTATCACCTTCTATTAAAACAACATAATAAAAAATCAATATATATATATATATATATATATATATATATAAATTATCATTTTTTTAAAAACTATGTAAAATAATATTTTGTGTGCATTTTATATTATTTTCTTATATGAATATAGTGAAAAATAAAATATATAAATTCAATAGAAACTAACATATTTGATAAATACTTTGTTTTTTTTTCTAATTTTTCTATACTAATCATTGTATACTCTCTATCTTCCCTACAATCGAACATATATTTAAAGTTGATAAATGAATCAGAGATGTCTTAAAGCTATAACTCAACTCATTTTAATTGTTGTATTAATTGTAGCTTGAAATATAAAAATGATTCAAAGAATTCTTGTTGTGAGCGTTGCACTTAGCAGTATTTTACTCATAACAGGTTTATTCATGGGATTGCAACCTAAGATGATGACTTGTGGAAAAACTAGGGCAATGATTTCAATGGTAGTTAAGTTCTTGGTTGGGCCAATGCTGATTCTTGCAACCTCCAAAGCCATCGGCATCAATGGAGTTCTTTTGCGTGTTGTAGTTGTTCAGGTGATCAACAAAGATACTCGTAAATTCTTCAAATTAATAAATTTGAATGAAAATTGTTTACTTAAATTCTGTACTATTTGTGACAACGTGGTATGATTTTGTAGGCTGCACTTCCACAGGGTCTCGTTCCCTTTATATTTGCCAAAGAATATAATCTCCATGCAGACATACTCAGCACAGCGTAAGTGTCTGGTTTTTATAATTTTATTTATGTTAAAAAAATAATATTTATGATTATAAATTCATTTAGTTACAAATGAATCAAAAACATCTTTATAAATAGGATCTAAATTAATTTCACAAAATTTTCAGGGTTGTCTTTGGAATGGTGGTTGCGTTGCCCGTAACAATAAGCTACTACGTCATTCTTGGACTCTAATAACTTTTCTTAGAAAAACAAGTTTATAGGTGTAACATTTTGATGTCATATCTATACTCTCAAATGAGAAAATAAAATAAAATAAAATGTATAATCTTCTAATTCAGGTAAGTATAAGCTTTATAACATTTGATGTCGTGTCTACACTAGCATTTGGGCATGTTAAAAAATTTCATATGTTTTAAAAATCGGGTAAATTGATATTATGTAAGTCCTATCAATATTTTAGATGTTATGATTAACTCTAATAATGTTTCTTAATTTATGGAAGATTGAAAATGTAATTTATATTTTTGTAAAAGTAATTGATGTTAGTGATAGGTGAAATGAGGGATCAATTTGTCTATCATAATCTATTTCAAAAGATAAAAATAATTTTCACACAATATAAAATTGTTTAGTAAAGTCACAGAAAGGTATTTTTGCATTTATAAAAGGATTGTTTATGATGAAGTTATAAAATTCACAAATTATATAAGCGTTATTAAATAACGACAACATCAAGAGGCGTTGTTTTAAAAATAACATAGACGGTTTACTGCAGTTTACAATTGATAATTTCAAAAAAATTGAGAAATTTAAAAATTTCTCAGAGGAATTAAAATTAAAATTAGAAAATATAAAATCTATCAGAAAGAAAATGACTGTAAGTTAATACGTGCTTAACTCATAATTTAATATGCAAATGGTTGTAACATGGTTTGATATGTTCCAAAGTGCCTAATTAATCCGCATGTATTGATGTAAACTTTACTGAATCTCATTAAGTAAAGCATTTACCTAAGCATGATTCTAAGTTGTAGCTAATCTAATTAAGATCTACCTAATTGATATGTCCATGCCCCTAAGCTTCACCTAATTTGATTTAAGCATGTACCTAAATATCTAATTAATCTATTCATATGACCATGGTTATCAAATGTAATAATAAAGCATGTGCAAAAAAGTTAGAGTATATGATCCCAAACATGGCTATATATATATATATATATATATATATATATATATATATATATATATATATATATATATATATATATATATATATATATATAATTAGCATGTATTTATTGCTCTAATAGTCTAATTTGTAGGTATTGATATAAATATGTGCTAATATATTAATATTTACTGAATAATCTAAAACGTAATCACATTTTATCTAGATTAATATATATGAGTAACTCACCTTTAATTATATATCCCATATATTTTTATATATTTTAAATTTATAAAAGTTTGGTGAGAATATAACTGACTTTCATTTATTTAAATATGGTTTATTTTTAGTATTTATAAAATAGATTAATTTTAAAATTTTAGTCTTTTTTATTAATTATGTTAAAAATAAAAAATATTAATTAGTATACTTAAACTAAAAAATATTTTAACTAAAGATAAATATATTTTTATAAATAGTTTAATTAAATAATATATTTATTATCTAATGTATATTAATATAAAATTTTTTTTGGTATATCAATTATATGACAACAATCATGATTAAGTAATTAATAATAATAAAGCAATAAATTTAAAAATTAGATTAAAAATAAAGTATTATAAAATAAAATTGTAATAATTTGATTAAAATTGTATTTTTTTAATTAATTAAGTTAATGAGGAATTAAAATGTGATAATTTGATGTGTTTAATTTTTTTAATATAAATTTTTAAAATATAATTTAATTTCAATTGAAAAATAAATTAAAGAATATTTGTTATTAAACTTTTCTTAAACAATGTATTGAATAGTTAATATCACTCTAGTCTTAATTTATTACAATTTAAATTTTTAATAAATTTGATTTATTACAATTCATTTTGTTAATATTGAGATCAAAGTTTATTTTTAAAGTATATTTTAAAAATTAAATTATTTTTAAAAAATAAATTACTTTTAAAAAATAAATTGTAAAAAATATACTAAAACAATTAAAGTATATTTATAAAAAAATAAATATAAATATAATAAAAAAATAATATTCATTAGCGACCGATTTCAATTCGGTCGTTATTTTCTCATTAGCGACCGATTTTAATTCGGTCGCTAAATCAGTCGCTAAATGATTTTTTTATTTTAGTATGGAATAGCCACTAGGATAAATTTGTAATTCGGTCGCTAAATCAGTCACTAAAAAAACCCTATTACCTACGGATACAAATCCGTAGGTAAATTTTACATTACCTACTGAATTATATTAAACTAAAAGAATTGTCACTAGCAAGAATCGAACCAGTACCTTAAAGTTGAAAACTGATACTTCAACCACTAAACTATTAGGATATTCTAATAATAATTTACAACTAAATTATACTTATATTAATTCGTGTAAATATATAAATATATAAATATAAAATATATAAATATATAAATATAAAATATATAAATATATAAATATACAAATATATAAATATACAAATATATAAATATACAAATATATAAATATATAAATATATAAATATATTTATATATAAATATACAAATATATAAATATACAAATATATAAATATATTTATATATAAATATATAAAAATATAAATACATAAATACATAAATACATAAATACATAAATACATAAATACATAAATACATAAATATATAAATATATAAATATATAAATACATAAATATATAAATACATAAATATATAAATACATAAATACATAAATATATGAATACATAAATATATGAATACATAAATATATGAATACATAAATATATAAATAGATAAATATATAAATATATAAATATATAAATACATAAATATATAAATACATAAATATATAAATATATAAATATATAAATATAAATATATAAATATAAATATATAAATACAAATGTATAAATGTATAAATATATAAATATATAAATATATAAATATATAAATATATAAATATATAAATATATAAATATATAAATATATAAATATATCAAAATATAAATATAAAAATATATAAATATATCAAAATATAAATATATTTTATATTTATATTTTGATATATTTATATATTTATATATTTATATATTTATATATATTTTATATTTATATATTTTTTATATTTATATATATTTTATATTTATATATATTTTATATTTATATTTATATATATTTTATATTTATATATTTTATATTTATATATATTTTATATTTATATATATTTTATATTTATATATTTTATATTTATATATTTAGACTGATAAATATAAATATAATTTATTTGTAAATTATTTTCAAAATATCCTAATAGCTTAGTGGTTGGAGTATCGACCTCTAACTCGAGTGCACTGGTTCGAATCCTGCCAATGACAATTCCCTTAATCTAATAATAATTCAAAGTTTCGAAAATATAATATAAAGGGGAGGGGTTCTAGGTAATAATAAAAAATAAGGGAGGGGGTTGTAATAAATAAAAATATTTTGTTTTGTTAAGGTGAGTGCATTACCTACGGATTTTACCCGTAGATAATAAGCGTTTTTTTGTAAGATCAAAGTTTATTTTTAAAGTATATTTTAAAAATTAAATTATTTTTAAAAAATAAATTGTAAAAAATATACTAAAACAATTAAAGTATATTTATAAAAAAATAAATATAAATATAATAAAAAAATAATATTCATTAGCGACCGATTTCAATTCGGTCGCTATTTTCTCATTAGCGACCGATTTTAATTCGGTCCGCTAAATGATTTTTTTATTTTAGTATGGAATAGCCACCGATTTAGCTAGCTGAAATTTTGCGACGCAAAATATTAGTCGCTATTTCGATCGCTAAATAAAAAAGTGAAACCAAATCATATTTTGGTGGCTAATTCGGTCGCTAAATTGCGACCGAATTAAAGTGATCGCTAAATTGGTTGCTAATTGCGACCGAATTAAATTGGTCGCTAATTGCGACCAAAATAAAATCGATCGCTAAATCAGTCGCTAATTTCGATGGCTAAATATGTTTTTTCTTGTAGTGAATGAGATCAAATAATGATACTAGATATATTAAAATTTAAAATAGAAATAATGATTGAAAGTGTGATATTATTTATCTTATGTGTATAATTTAAATAACTATTAGGATATTTATGTTGAAATCTTATTTTGGTAAGAGAGATAATTATCTTGAGTCTAAGAGTTATTTTTTCATATGGTTAAAAGTAAGGGGTTGGTTCCTTAACATGAAGATTGAATTTAATTAAAATAAAATTGCTTACTTTTTTTTTTTTATATTACTATGTTTTAATACATTCATGAATATTATTTAAAGTAAAAGATAAAAAAATAATTTTTATATATTTTTATTTCTTAACCCATTAAGATGACTTTTAAGGAAAATTTCGATGGATTAAACTTTCAAAGTAGATTTTTAACGTGATAATGAATCCTAATAATATTATCATAACAAATATGAGATGATAATACTCTTGTTTTAGATAAAATATTGATGTCCATAGTAAATTGATAATAAAATCTCGCTCTTCCGATATCCTTTCCTCTTTCTTAATCTATCTAAATGTTTTTTAAGAATAAAATCGTAATAGACTAAATTAACAAAATAAATAATACTTAAGATAAGATAATAAATCCTAATAATATTATCAAAATAAATCACACTCATAAATGAAACATATATTTGTTCTTATAAATGATTACAATCAAATAAAAGTAACTATATAATTAGAATGTACAATATTATTTATTATTTCTCTTTTATGGACTCAATTTTAAAATATATGAATTTTTTTGAACATATGCCCAATTTTTTTTTATAAGTTATATATAATTTATTGATTCCGAGTTATAAAGCTAATCCTAAACCAAAATTATAGGATTTTACATTTTGAATTATATATTTTTTTCTCATTTGATAGACACCACATCAAATGCTACACATAGTTATTTTTCTAAGAAAAGTTATTAGAGTTCAAGAATGACGTAGTAGATTATTGTTACGGGCAACGCAACCACCATTCCAAAGATAACCCTGAAAATTTTGTGAAATTAATTTAGATCCTATTTATAAAGATGTTTTTGATTCATTTGTAACTAAATGAATTTATAATCATAAATAGTATTTTTTTAACATAAATAAAATTATAAAAACCAGACACTTACGCTGTGCTGAGTATGTCTGCATGGAGATTATATTCTTTTGCAAATATAAAGGGAATGAGACCCTGTGGAAGAGCAGCCTACAAAATCATACCACGTTGTCACAAATAGCATAGAATTTAAGTAAACAATTTTCATTCAAATTTATTAATTTGAAGAATTTACAAGTATCTTTGTCGATCACCTGAACAACTACAACACGCAAAAGAACTCCATTGATGCCGATGGCTTTGGAGGTTGCAAGAATCAGCATTGGCCCAACCAAGAACTTAACTACCATTGAAATCATTGCCCTAGTTTTTCCACAAGTCATCATCTTAGGTTGCAATCCCATGAATAGACCTGCTTAATTAAGTCATGATTTTATAAGAATTTTTTAGTAAGATTGTCTATTAAGTAATGATTTAGTTGATTTTTTTTTAATTTTGAAGTCACCAAATTAATTACTTTTTTTATTAAAGTAATTTTAGTTCATATATTTTAAATTATTTTTTTAAGTAAAAGTTCAATTTAAAAATTAAGTAATTATTATTTAAAAATAAAATTTAATTCAAAATATATAAACTAAAGACATCAATCAATATACAATTTTAGTATAAAAAAATTAAATTAAAGACATCAATTGACAACTTTAATATAAAAAAAATTAAATTAAAATCATCAATCAATAAATGACTTCAATTTTTAAAAAAATTACTTCAATTTAAAAAAGATTACACTATTTAGTTAATTGAAACGACTTAAAAAAATTTATCACATAAAATAGTCGTTCATTACTACTTATTCATGGTGAAATCATGTATTAAAGTATATCTATTTTTTTTTTAATTTACCCATTTTAGAATAAATAAATGAATTTGCCAAAAAATGTTGTTCATGTCATTTTTGACGTTATAAAATAGTCACGTGAGATAAAAAGTAATAATACATACCTAAACTGAACATGGCCATTCCCAACCCGGTATTGGATATTATTTCAATGGAAGCTTTTATAATAGGTGGCATTTTGATTTTCCACCTGCTCAAAAACAACCATGATTCATGAATATATTATTAACAGTTAATAGTTTTTTTTTTTTTTTTTTTTTAACTTCTGGGTGTGATTTTCCATGGATGGAATCAATGAAGAAAGAAAGGGGAAATATACCTGAAAAATATGAGAGACCAAACAAGACCCAAAACACTTGCATAGGTATTAGGGTTTCTCATCAGATTCCTCCAAACCATGGTGAGAATAAGCTTTATCATCACACTAGCGCGTGGCATTTCATGTCTTCTGTTTGAATCTCCTTCAATCTTCTTCTTCGTCTTCCTCCCCAATACAGGATCTTCCATACCTTCAATTTCCACCTCTTCATCCACGTCTACATTTACAAAATGTGTTTAGTTGACGTTGAACTTCCAGTATTATTAAATATATACTGAAATTATAATATATAATTTAATAATAATATATAGGAAAAATAACTTTTTTTTCCTTTTTTTACTGTTCACTAAACACTTGAACAAAACAAAAGAAGCAATTATAATAATGTGTGACTATTATCATGCTGTTTCTGGTGAAATTTCGATCGATCTCGATTCTAAGGGTGTTTTGGTCCTAATCAAAATTCTACCACGTAAGTTCTTTTTATTTAGGCTAGCAATTTGATTTTCAATCGAAAACGTGTGTGAGAATCGAAAACTACAGGATATCGAAAATGCTGTTTTTGGTGTTTTGTATTTAAAGTATCGAAAGGATTAAGACTATCGAATCGAAAAACAGAATGTTAAATTGCGAGGAAATGTAAAGTGCGAAAACCCCAAATTTGCATGAATTGTAAATAGCAAGGAATCGAAAATAGCGCAAATATAAATGACAAGAAATCGAAATTGCAAGAAAAGTAAATGACAGGAAATCGAGATTGCAAGAATGTTAAATCGTGGAAACCTAAATGCATAAACTTAAATTTGCATTGAATTGAAATGGACAAGGAATCGAAAATACAGAAACATGAGACTGCTGAATTTAAGTTGCATCAAAGTAAATTACCAAGGAAAATACAGAAAGCGGTAAATGTACTCAGTGAGCAAGGAAATCCAGATTGCCAGAAGCTTCATGGTGTTCGTCGTTTCTCCGGTAGACTTTTCACTACTGATTCTGTTCTCTGCCAATTTTTGCTCCCCTGTTCCTTCCTTCTTTGCTCTATTTATAGGGCATCCTTCAAGCCTTCTAAGAGCAGTTAACACGACTGCTACCACGTTCTACGTGCATATGGCAGTTTATCTTCTAGTTTCCCACGTTCTCACGATCTCCGACTTTTTCCCATGATTTCAAAAACTGCTCTTTACTTCCTTTCATGATTTGGCCAAAGTCTTGATGTCCGCCTTGGCTTTCTTTACTCTCGATTCTGTATTTTTCGAGAACTTCGAATTGCTTACAATTCCTTTTTAACCCTGGTCTTATATGACTTAGTTTTTATTCGACAACAGTCATTTGATTATTATTCATTTGATTCTCGTTTGTGCTTCTCGATGCTATATGTTACATATTTCTAATTAGACATCGAATGAATTTTTGTTTATCTTATCGAGTCACATCCCTTTCCTTCAATTTCGATCGTTTTTCTCGATTTGCCACTAACAAAATGCCCCCTTGGAAGAATATAAACGATTTCTGTTTTATATTCTTTCAATATTCCCGCTTTAGTGTTTGAAAACCCACATGATTTAGGGTTTAGGGTTTCTGGGGTTCTAGGGTTAAAAGGGTTTTAGGTTTCTTTTACACTTTACGTCGCCGTCTCGTCAGTCTGTTGCCTTTCAGTACAAGTTACATTAATTATCTTTCCCTTCCGTCGTTTCCAACTCCCTAGACGATTTTCCTTTAACCTTTCCTTGGTCTTAACTCTGGTCTTTACGCGAACTATCACCCTCTTTGCAATCTTATCTTCTCCTTTGAGCTCCCGCTTCGTCCCCGTTACCTCATCCGTTAACTCTTCCCTTTCGTTTTCTTAAGCTCATTACAATGGCCACTTCATCCAAGTCATCTCGATTTCTCGACTCCCCTCTTGCCTCATCCGCCGCTACCTTGCTAGAGATTAACAACCAGAAGTTTGCTCCCCGCCTCTAATGGAGGAAGCTTCCAAAAAGATTGCTGAAACGCAGTATTAGTTCCTTATACTGTTGAGGGGTTGATTTTGCTTTTGGGGGCCCCATTCTTTCCGGTAGTGGAACCGTTTCTCCCTCACCCTCTCAAATAGCCCCCGCTCTTGTACATCACTCGAAGTTAGGATCGATTTTCCGAACCTTGTTTCTAAGGTGTATCGGACAGGCCCTCCCTCCAAAAAACCTTTGTTCACTAAATGGTTTGATAGGGTCAAGGCTAAATTCGGGGACCATTGGAGGAACGTGGGGATTTTCGATTTTTTACACTTGTCTCAATGTGACTTGTCCTACTTAGACATGGCTATGTTTTTGGCCGCCGTACATTTGTGGAATAAGGAAATACATGCGTTGGAATTACCTTGCGCCCTCTCTCACCTACTCTTTTCGATGTCGCAGCCATCACTCGGGTTAAAACCTATAGGGGAGAGATACTTTCGTGGTGCATATCCCTCGGATAATTCATTGAAGTCCAAAATTGATTGGGAATCGAAGGCCTACGGGCATTTTATTGAGAAACATTTTGTTGATGACCCCTCGATAGTCAGTCATCGATGAAGAACATGTAGCATTTTTGGTGTATTGGTCGTGCACCCATGTGTTTTGCCCCCGATCGATCCAAATTTCCCCCATCTATTCAACCTTGCGTATCTCCTTCACTTAGGTCATCCTAGCCTATGTTTGGCCAAATTTTTGTTAGCGCATGTATATACTGCTTTCGACGAGGTCGTCGAAATTTTGAGTACTCCTAAGGCATCTGGGAATTTTTCTCGCCCCGTTTGGTTTATACAGCTATGGTTAACTTCAATTTTTGAGAGCGTCCTTCCTCGATTTTCTACTCGTTCCCCGAGTGTAAATATAGAAGGGCCCGATTATCCTCTCGCCATCCTCGCCATAAGTCCGACGAAACTACCTATTGTAAATACCTTCACTTTTTGTTAACTAGATTCGATTTCGATTCAACCTTGGCCCCTTTTACTCGTAAATCTTGGACGAACAAGTGGCCAACTTAGGGGGCCTATTTGGTTTAAGTCAAAGTTTCCTGCTTCAACTCCTGGGTTGCAATTAGAATTGGTCGATATATGGAGTAACTACTTAACCCAGGATATATTAGTATCGAGCTTTCACCCCAAGGATTTCAAGTTTACTACTTACTACCCTCAACTTTTTTCAAGACAATTTGGCTCGAGCCGCTCTTTACCCTTTTTCCCTTTAAATACCTTCCCCAAATCCAAATTGACTCGAGTCGAACATCGGCCGAGAGCTTGCCAAATTTTTGCCAAGAACCTCGATGCATCTTTATCCATATGTATTTGAATCGAATTACTTATCGATCGTGGAATTTTCTCAATGGTGGACCAATTGGTTTTCGAGTAATCGTGCCGTTTTTGACGAGGTTCGACAGAACCGATCGCTCGTCCTTCTCTTGTGTTGCAGGACAAGTCGAAAGGGAAGAAAGGTACACACTTCCACTGTCTCCAAATATCTCGATTCGAGAATTTTTATCAAATATGTTATACTCCACTAAAACTAGAATCGACCTTTTATGATGTCGTCATTTCCTTATCCCGAAAAACGTATACCAATAGATCGAACCACAAAATAATTAATCCCTTAGGAAAACCCCTTTTGAAATGTATTGTCCCGATCGCCTTCCCACTTTTCCTACAACACCTTTGGACTCGCAAAACCTTTAACTCATCCCAAATGGGTTCGAGAATTGAGAACCCTTAAAGAAACACGTCGCCCAAAACCCAAAAACAAAGACATTTCTGTATCGAAATTGTTTTACTTTCCTTACCTTAACCTCCCCGAAGCTCTCCCGCCTCCTTGGCTAGTACATATTGATCGAGTCAAAATTTTGACTCCATCACCTTTTGGTGAGGTTTTATTGTTTTCTCTCAATTTTCAATTCCGTGTTTTGGAAACCGACTATCTTCATTCCTCGACAGCTTCAAAATCTACTAAGGTGGTCGCCTTCGAGAAGGCACAAGAGAAAGAAAAGACGCAAGCCGGGAGTCCCTAGATGAGCTCGGACCCTCCGCCTTCACCGTAAAGCGAAAACAATCGGCCACCATCACCACTTCGTCTTCGAAAAAATCAAAGGTACTTTTTTGATCTCTTTTTGTCTCATTCATTTTTCCGTTTATAACATGTTTCCTTATGGATTCTCATATCTCTTTTCGATTTCTACCCTACGTAAAAAATCGAAGAGTCCACGACCAATCCAACCATCCACAGCAGATCCATTATCGATGGATTCTAACACCGTTCCCTCCACGGTCAAACAACACCCGTCACTCATTCTAGTCACGTGAGTTTCCTTTTTCTCTCATTTCTATGTCTTAGATTTTGATAAGACTTGTATCATGACTCACATTTTCGATAAAATTTTTAGGATAATCCATCTAGTGACCATATCGACAACCGTCGAAACTCGCCTTCAACCTTCAACACCGATCCCCGAGGTATAGTTCTTTTTTACTTGTGTATGTGTCTCTTTGTATGTCTATATATTTCCTTCTCTAATCAAGCGTTTCGATTTATAGCAAGTCGAGACCTGCATGCACTCTCCCACCTATCTCAATGCCGCTTGCTCTTCCTCCACCTGGTATTTTCCCTTTATGCTTTCATCATTGGATTCTTCATTTCATCCTTTATTTAACTCTCTCGACTTATCTTTTCAACTTGTTTTCTTTTTTAGTAATTATTCCCACTGGCTCAAATCCCGGACTCCCCATCTCCCACTACCACGTAACAAATGGGTTCTCACCCATTTTCGATGCCAATGGTCGAGCTAATCTCGCCATCTTTGCCTATGTCGACCGGCCCACTTCAAGCGGCGTGCCGAATATCGAGCCGCTATCGAGGAAGATCCATTCGCGATCCTCGATATTCTGGTATCGAGCGGCGCCACTTCTTCCAACCTGGCCTTCTCAACCATCCGTCCCTCGATCGAAGGAGCTTATCACTCAAGCAACGCTTCCGAACCTTCTTCTACTCTTCACCTCCGGAGGTCCTGGTGGAGTCTTTTGAACGGAAACGACTTTTCAAGGAGATCTTGACCTCCATCGAGTCTTTTCCCGAAGGAATGCTTCCCAAGGGCTTCGATGCGTAGATTGCAGCAGCCTACAGATCTGTTTAACCAGTGCTTATGCCGCAAGGAAGAAGAGACAATCCATAACGTCTAAAGT